GGGCGGGCAGGGGCTGTGCAAGGCTCAGCGCGTCCCCGAACCTCTGAGCTCTTCCAGAGGGTCTCTGAACAGACACTCCGCTTTTGTAGGACTGTAAGGTACGCGCACCCTTGGAAAAAGGTGCTCTTTTCTGGTTGTTTAAAGGGATCTTGGAGCACTGCAAAAAGTCCCGGAAAAAAGACACAATGGTATAGGGCATGGGTCTCAAACTCATGGCCCGCGGGCCAATTGCCGGGACGGGCAGGCCACGGGGGAGGGGCCCTGCAGCCTTCAAAGCGCCGGCGGCCCCGGGAGCAACGCGGGATGAGCGGCCCCCCACCACCGCTTGATGCCGCCCAGCCTCACCCAGACGCTACTTCCAGCGGCCCCCAGGTCAGTTGAGCTTGAGACCCCTGGTGTAGGGGCTGCAGCAGCTTCCCCTGCAGAAGGACCACAACATCCGGAACTGGTTAGCTCGAGGGTGAGTGAGGAGGCGCGCAAACGGTGCGTGCCCAGAGAGGGGGGAGCCCTCTCCCTCGCGCCTGTGATTCTCCAACCCGAAGGGATCACCCTGGGGGAGAGAGCAAAGGAGACCCCGCCCCACGGTGCCCCGCCTGGCCACGGAATCCGCGCCCGCAAGACGCGTGCAGGGCCCCCAGCCTGGAGGGCTCCAACGGGAGAATGGAAAACCCTGGAGGAGGAGAAGGAGGTGCTCCCGGATTCCTGGTCCTGATGGCTCCGTGTGACCCTCAGTACCCGAGGCGGGGGCCCCGAGCGCCTGCTGCCGGGTCCATGGGCAGCAGCGGGCGGCTGTCCTGCTCGCGGGCTTCCTGCGGCAGCGGCTTGGCCTCTCCCGGGAGGGAAGAGGCTGCTGGCCCAGGAGACCGGGCAGCCCAGCAGGACCCTTCCTGGGAGCGCCGCTTCAGAGACGTCCTGCTGGCTGGTGGGAGCTTTCGCACACCTGGCGCTGCTCTGCTATGACCCCCCCCCCCCGCCCCCCCAAGGGGCCCCCCCCCCTGTTCTGGAACCCCGCGAACGGGACCTCCCCCGGGCGAGAAAGGAAGGGAGAAGCCCGCCCGCTCCTTGCACGCTGCCTGAGGCAAACGCGACTCCGTGCAAGGGCGAAATGCAGGGGACGCCGGGGGGAGCCCCCCTCCCGCTCCGTGACTGGCGGGGCCGCGAGCAAGGCGGACCACCCCCGGCCGCCCGAGGCATGTGGCGCCCCAGGCCCGCGCCGGCCGCTCCGGGACACGCACGGGGCGGGCAGGGATGGACGAACTCCCTTCTCCCCGACTGGCTGCACGGCGGCTTGGCCACGGGCGCGTGTGGCGACCCAGTCACGTCCGATTCAGGCGCGGGTGGTCTGGTAGACTGCCTCCGGTGAAGTCTTCGGGACCCGGCCGCCGCCGTGGCAGGGAGCACGCCGCGCCCCGGAGCCGCGGGCGAGGAGGCAGGGACCTTCCTCGCCCGGCGCCCCAGCCCCGCTCCCGCCCTGCCTCTCCTCCCCCGCCCCCCCGCCAGCGCGCCTCCCCCTCGCCTTCCGCGGGCCCCGCGCTTTCACTTTCGGGAAGCCACACGCCCCGCCGCCTTTCCTGCTCCGGGCTGAAGCGCTCCCGACGCGGAGGAAGCGGCTCGCCAGGTAGGGAGCGCGTCGCCGAGGGGGCCGGGCGGGGCCGCCCCGGAGCCCAAGTTGGGCGGGCGGGTGGGGCCCCCGCGCCCGCGGGCTTCGGAGCCCCCTCTTCCCCGGAGGCGCCCGGGCCCTGGAGGCAGGGCGCAACGCTGTCGCAGCCCGAGGGCTGCAGCCCCTTCCGGAGAAGTTTCGCCCCCACGTCCCCCTGCTGGGAAGGGCCGAAGGCGGGGGGCCGCGCCACAGGGCCCCCCCGCGCCCTCTGCGGCAAGCTCTTGGCTGCCCCGGCCGGGCCTCGGGGGGGGCGCGGGCGCGGGGCGGCGGCGGCGGAACAGCCAGGAAAGGCTTGCGGCCAGACCGGAGCCAGGTCTGGCCCCCGCTCCCGCGCGCCCTGGCGCTTTGCCCCGCTCGCGAGAGGTACTGCGGGGGGGGAATCGCTCGGCCCAGGAGGGCGCCGCTTTCTCGGGGCGAGAGGGGCGGAGCCTCCCCAGGACCCCGCCCCCTCCTCCCACCGTCTCCGAGTATTCCCTTGTTTGAGCCTGCCGAGGCTCCGACCACCGGGAATCCGGAGCGCCTCCAGGGTTGGGACAACCAACCGCCGGAGCCTCCCGCGCCCCCCAGGGCGGAGGGATGCCGAGATAGTCCAACGTGTCTTCTCCACTAGGGACCGCAGTTAGATCGAGAGGTCGCCGGTTCGAGTCCGCAGTCTTCTCCACTTGCAGCTGGGATGCTGAAACACCCGGGGGGGGGAGCTTTGATACCCCCCAGGTACTGGCAGCAAACCTGGGGATAGCCGCAGGTGGACAGATGAGGCAGGGGAGGGGGCGTGCCCTGCCCCAGCCCACAAGGTGCTCCCAGGCCCAGGCGGACCTGCGCCTTGCCCGCTCCGTGGAGGCGCCCCCTGCCCTCCAGCGCGGGGCGGGCGGCGGGGGGGGGGCGAGCCTCCACCGGCCGGTGCTTTGGCTTGCCCTGCGGGGACGGGGGGGGGCAGCAAAGGCGACGCGACTCCGCGGCCCTGCCCCCCCCCCTTCGGGGGTCCCAGTCGGCAGCCTTTGTCCGTAAATGGCCCCCGTGCCCTGCAGGGACAAAGCCGAGGAGTGCGGGCGCACGCTTGACCCCGGAAGCAGGGAAGGACGTGCCGGTCCATTCAGTCCCTCTGAGCCGAGGCCGCGTGCCGCAGCCCGCAAGCACTCTGTGCAGGCTCAGGGACAGGGCTGGAGCCGCCCATGGAATCACAGAGTAGGCCCTGAACACACAACGACTCACAGAATAGTTGGGAGGGGCCAGGAAGGCCATCAAGTCCAGCCCCTGCTGTTGCAGGACACCAAGTCACCCCAGCCCACTCAGAGGGCTGTCCAATCTCACCTTGAATCCCCCCAGCATGGGGGAGCTCCCCACCTCCCGGGCAGCTGGCCCCACTGCCCTGTTGCTCTGGCAGGCAGGAGCTCTTCCCGTTGCCCGGCCTCAGTCTGGGCTGTCGCAGCTTGAACGGCCGATTCCGCGTCCTGCACTGGGCCATCAGCCGGAGGAGGCCTTGGCCTTCCTCCCTGTGGCAGCCGTCCAGGTCCCTGTAGAGGCATCCCATGCCCCCTCAGCCGACTCTGCTCCCGGCGGAGCGTGCCCCGTTCTCCCAGCCTCTCCTCACAGGGCAGGGCCCCCAAACCCTGCGTCACTTTTGTCGCCCTCCTCTGGAGCCTCTCTCGTTTTTCTGCATCTCTCTTAAATCTTGGTGCCCAGAACTGCACACGGTATTCCAGGCAAGGTCTGACTAGTGAGGAGTAGAGGGGAACTGCTACTACTCGTGATTTGGAAGTAATGCTTCTGTTAACGCATCCCAAAATAGCGTTTGCCCTTTTGGCGGCTGCATCGCACTGTTGGCTCACTTCTAGCCTGTTGTCCACAAGGACTCCGAGTCCTTTTTCTCTTTCACTTTTGTTGAGCCACGTGTTCCCCATCTGGCATCAATGCCTTTGGTTTCTTTTTCCTCTGTGGGGAACTTGGCACTTGTCCTGACTGAAGTTCATTGGTTTCAGCCCAGCGCTCAAGCTTGTCAGGATGGCCCTGGATCCTCATCCGGTCCTCTCGGATGTTTGCTATTCCGCCCAGTTTTGTATCATCCGCGAATCTGATTATCTTTCCTTGCACTTCCTCATCCAAATCATTAAGAAAGGTGCTGAAGAGCACCGGGCCCAAGACTGAAGCCTGCGGGACCCCCCTGGCTCCCCCCTCCGGTCTGAGAAGGTGCCACTGATGAGCGCTCTTCGGGTCCGATTCAGCAGTCCGTTTTGGATCCGCCGAATAGTTTCTCCATCTGGTCCACTTTTTGCTGATTTGCTTATCGGAATGGCATGTGGCGCCAAGTCGAAAGCTGTGCTAAAGTCTGGGTAGATTCTGTCCACGGTGTTCCCTTTGTCCATCTGGGAGGTTACCCAGTCAAAAATGAGATTAAATTAGTCTGACAGGATTTATTTTTGATAAATCCATGCTGGCTTCTATGAATCACTGCATTTTCTTCAAGATGCTTGCCGATGGACATTTAAATAATTTGCTCCAGACTTTTTCCAGGGATTGATGTCAGACTGCCTGGTCTGTAGTTTCCAGGTTCATCTCCCCCCACCCCCACCCCCCTTTTGAAGAGAGGGCAACGCTGGCCCTTCTCCAGTCCTCAGGCACGTCTCCTGTTTTCCAAGATTTACCGCAGACGATAGCCCGTGGCCCTGAGAGTTCCTCCACTGGCTCTTTTGTGACTCTGGGATGACTCTTGCTGGGCCCTGGGGATCCGAAAGTGTTTCTTCCACCTAGATATTCCTTGACCGTTTGTCAGTCAGTTTTGGGCCGGCATCTCTCACTTCCAGCTTGAACTCCCTTTTGAGTGCAGATTTCCTTGTGGGAGGAGACGGAGGCGAAGGAGGAACTGAGCACATCTGCCTTTTCCTTGTCATCTGTTACCACTCTGCCCTCGACTTTAAGTAGCGAGCTCTTTCTCGTGGACGCGCTGCTCTTTCTCGCGTCTCCTGTTCCTGGTGTTTCCGAGGGAGACTCCCCTGCTGTGCGCGGCATCCCTGCTGGCCTCCTTCCTTGCCCGCTTTGGCCGTCCCGATGCCACTCCAGCGACTCCTCGCTGCCTGTTTGTGCGCTTCCTTCCTGGCCCGGCCCTGCTTCCGCCTCCTGCACACGCTCTTTTTCCCTCTCAGGCGGCCACTCGGCGTCCTGCGGAGCCACCTGGGCTCCCTCTGCTGCACTTTCTTGTTTCTGGAATTGTTGGTAGTTGGAGCAGGATGGGGAATGGATGAAGGCCACGGGTATCTGCACGGACGGCATCTGGGCAACATCTGGCCATGCACTTTCTCCCCGTAGGGGAACCTCTCCCCCCGATCCCCCCCAAAATGCTCCGGCATTTGATGAAGGGGCTGGGAAGGTTGCGCTGCTGCTGATGCTCGCCCACCGGCTTTGCCCGGCCCCGGCTCCCGAGCTTCGCAGGAGGGGGCCCTGCGCCTTGCCCAGAGACCTTTTTTTGGGCCCCTGAGTGGTGCATGTGTCAGCAAACATGTAGCCCAGAGGGGCCTTTTCCTGACAGCCCTGAAAGGGGGGGGCACACAATGGATTGTAGGTTTGTGAAATGCATCCAGTACCTTTTCTCTGCCATGGTGCGTGCAATAAAGATGCGCGTCTTCCTTGTTTGCTGTGCAGCAGGCTGACCTTTTCCTGCAGATTTGCGAGTCCGAGTGCAGCTGCCGCGTTTCTGCACTGCCGCTCTGTGTGCGTGAAGCAGGCGGACTGAAGGCCGGGGGCCTCACCCTGGGCTCTGTGGCAGACCGGGACGGGACCGGCGAACATGACCGGGCACGGTGAGCCACGAGACGGAGCGGGATGCCGTGGAGCTCCCTGTGCGGCCGCTCAGCTTCCCCGTCCCCCTGTGCTCTTTCCCGGGCGAGGGACTCTCTGGGGCCCTGGGGACATGCGCCATGTGGGAGCGTGTGCGCAGGCCCGCCAGTTTGGGGCTGGAGGCACGGGTTCCCTTCTCTCCCATACCCGCGACCTCCCCCTCCTCGCCATTCCTGTGTGGGCTCCACTTCTCCTCCACTGGAGCTGGCCTCCTCCCCGGCCGGGGGAGTCCTGCTTTCCGCTGCTGGCCCCCCTTCGGCGGCCCCCGCCTGCCTCTCCTCGGCTCACCTGATCTCCTGATCTGCGTGGCGAGTGCGGGGGGGGGCAGGGACGCCGCAGCCACACCAAGAGGGGGCGAGGAGGGCTACAGCAGTGCTAGAAGTTGCAGCCACAGGAGGGGGGAGAATTGGGGGGCAGAGCAGTCATGACTGGGACCAGGAGTCCCCCCGGGGTCTGGATGGGCCAGCTCACCCACAGGGACCGCGCCACGGAGCCCTGTGGCGTGGGGACGAAGGAGCCACCGGCCACGTCCCCCCTGGTCCGGCCCCCTTGCTCCAGGGCCGCCTGCTAGCGGGGCCACCCGCGCCCTGTGCATGGGAGAGGCAGGGGCTGCCTGGCAAGGGCTGCGGGGCCGAGCCATGCCAGGGTGGGTCCGGAACGCCGAGATCCCTACGGCATCCGGGGGGGGGGGGGTCACGCCCGGCTCTGTCCCATTTGGCTTTTCTCAGTTCCCGAACAAGCAACAGCCAAATGCAGCCGCCCCTCTGGAGAACTGGGGGGAGCGGGGACTGCTGCCTCCATCAGCCCCAGGCAGCAGGGCCAGTAGGGGAAGGACAGGCATGGGAGCCTGATGCTCCCCGGGGGGGCCGCGCTGCGAGGGCGAGAGGAGCGGCTGGGGGAATGCGGGGGCTCTTGGCTTGGGGGCTCCAGGAGGAGGGGCCAGCAGCAGAGAGGGTGGAGCACCTTCACGGAGCAGGGACTGCAGTTCCCTGGGGGGGGTGGTCTCCGAGGCTCAGCTCTGCACGCCTTCCGAGGGCAAGTGACGGCCTCCTGGGCCGCAGAGCGGCACCAGCCCAGAGCCAGCCCTGCCCGGACATGGGGGCGGATGCCCAGCGAACCCCCCGGAAATCCCCCCCCC